GTCCGAACACCACTGGCCACGAGCTTTGGGCTCTGCTCTCACAGAGAATATTTATTTATATAGCATATTTTATTTTAGATCAACTAGAAACAATGTTTAACTTATAAAGTTTTATTTTTAAATGTAAGTCAATAACAATTGGCTGAAGCCAGAGCCAATGGTGAAAGTCTTTGCGCGAGGAGACCCCACCCCATTTTGGAGGTTCTGCCCACTTTTGGAGTTCATGCCCCATTTTGGAGATTTTGGCCGGTCTGCAGTTATACCTACTTGCATCTAGTGGCTTCAACTGGATAGGCTAACAAAAACATTCAAATGTAATAATGACACTTACATCGTCATCGCATCTCGTGCGCCACTGATAAGGCAGCCTCCTTAACGCACACCTAAAATTCGAATGCAACATTTTTGCATTCGAATGTGGATTTTTATTTTAAATTTGACGAATATTCGAAATTCGATTTTTTTTGACAGCCCTAGCTCACATGGATTTTTTTCAACTTTGCCAGACCAAAGAATTCAGTTAAACAGACAAATAGGTTGCATACCCTCCTCTGCTGATATGCGGTGGCTCTTTGTATTAGTTGACCAGGGGAACACACAGACCTGGGGGTCCACAAGCAGTTTGCAGTATCCAGCAACTAGACACGATAAATCTTTAGCTGCCACTGACTCCATCAGCAAGGTTATTGGCTGACAGGAAAAGTGTGAAATAAAGACAGAGCAGAGAGAACAATGAAAGGATTATACTGAGTGTACATATATGTAGATGCAAGTACAAGCATGTACTGTATATTATATACCTTTATATCCTGCAGGTAGATCTTGACCAGACTAACTCTGTCAGACTCAGGTAATAGTTCCACTCTTGTAATGCAGCTGAATTCAGTTAGTGTGGTCATGATGCTCAGCTTGTGGTTGATCACCTGACTCACCCCACATTGAGCTCCCACCAACAAACTCACCGTTGACTCTCTGTCCTGCAGCTAGTAAATAGAGAGAGAGTGAGACAGTGAGAGTGAAAGAAGGGTATGTGATACACAAAGACTGTGATATGTGGAAGAATGGACAGCAGGGAAAAATGGAAGGATGGGGATAAACCAAAAGGATTTTCAGTACAGTACATCTTCAGTTCATTGTTTTACCTAGACATACAGTCTGTTTGAAGTACATAAAACAGAAAGGTATGACACATTTCTATGGAAAGCAAAGGGCTCAATATCCTTTACTTGCCTTGTTATGCCTTGCAAACATACGTATTTTTTAATGTTATGTTTTAAATATTTTCTCACATATACAGTCACTAAAACGTACAAAGCATACCATTCGAATAATTTGTGGTCAGTGAGTTATGCATGTATGTACGTACAGTATGTATGTATTTATTTATTTTGCTCAGGTTAGGTCTCTCTGATTTTCTGACATTTTAAATGGCATTTTGGTGCTGATGTGTGAGTGTGTGATCTGGATGAAAGATGTAAAGCCATTGCATGTGTAAATGCAGGTAGGGTACATTTACCGGCAAAATTTTACATCAGTTTAATGGATTTCATGTCTGAAAGTGGCTATTAAGACTCAGAATGCATCTCTTACCATCATAGTGGCACTAAAAGTCTTTCCTCCATAGGACCTGAGTTCAGACATCTCATTCAAGTAGTTCAGTCTAGCTTGATCCACTGAGATCACCTTTGAAAACATCCCACATATTTAAATATAATGTGAATACACATCATACTGTACTTCACTAACAAAGAATACCAAGAGAATCAGTCTAAAACCTTGGTATTTTTCACACAAACCATGATATTCTTTCAAAGTAAAAACCCATGGTACTGTTCCCAAATTTAGTATCATTCAGTAACATGGCATGTATCAACATACAATTTAAAATCATTACTGGCACATATTGGTACTTTTTATAGGTTTTTAATTTTAGAGTTTTACTGTATATAATGTAAATGATTTACATTCTTCCACACAATGCCCTGGGGAAAAAAACACACATGTACACATGCACAAACCTTTTGCTTGGGCTCCTGAGACAAAATCTTTTTTATGTGGTAACTGATGGCTTTCTTCAAGTCCTTTTCTCTCATGTTTCGCAGTAAGGTGTGGGATACAAAGCTTTCAATACCCCACTCCTTCCTTCAGACAGAAATAGTACAGACAGTGTAGAATAGTATTACACACACATACATTTTCATCAAATATTAATATATACTTAAGTAAGTATTAATTAATAAGTATTAATTTCTTTTAAAAATCTTACTGACCTCAAATTTTTGAATAGTAGTGTACTTACTAAGAGGAACAACTAATGTAGCAGCAAGCTTTCTTATGTAGTATGGATACGTATGACATAGTGTTAGTGTGTGTGTGTACTCACATGATGGCCTTCAGTGGTGTTTTAAGGGATTGTCCACTGCTGGCTAGCTTTTCCTGCACATGTAGAGCAGCCAGTCTGAGAGCTGAATTACATTTCATCTCCACTGCAAACCTTTCCTGCAATACATCACTCACGCTCTATACACGCACGCGCACGCACACACACAAAATCAGAGATTAGAGATTTTTGTAGTTGACTAATAGTTGTTCATTTAAGCCATCAGTCGGCTAATCACACATTGATCACATTTATATGAATTTAATTACTTAAATATAAGTAAAATGCACTCAAGCACACAAAACACAGCAAGAGTAATGACTATGAATGTCCGAAAAAAAAAAAATAGCAAGAAGATATTTTAAATATTTATTAATAAACTACTGTTTCTGAGTAGTGTCGGCTGCAAAGATGAAGTTGACTCGCCATCTTCACAGTACAGAGGACACACCTTCAGAGAAAAATGCACCTTTCATACTGATGACATAATCAGAGTGTTAATGTTTTCGATTTTAAATGGTTCATTTAAAAATAGACATTTCAAGCTTCTAGATGTATTTCTCACATCTGTGAGGCAAGCAGTCTATACGCTGAGTTTCGGTTAATTTTTTGCTTTTTTATTTTACAAAAGCACGTTTTGTTGATATTGTGAGTGTACACAAAAAAGTAGACCCTTTACAGCAGTGGTCGCCAACCCTTCGATCGCGATCGACTGGTAGATCTTATCACTGTCCCAGTAGATCCCGAAAAAAACAGTAAAACAAGTACAAAAATGCATTACATTTATGGGGTTATATTAATGTATCACTGAAGGGAACTGTCTTGAGAAAAGTTTCGATGGCAATGGCATTTTCTTCTCTGTATAAAGCGCAACTCTGCTTTGTTTACAGCGGTAACCAAGGAAACGCGGTCGGTTCATAAGCAGTGTTGCCAAGTCCGCGGTTTTCCCGCGGAATTTCCCGCGGTTTTCCCGCGGAATTCATGTCCGCGGGTTAAAGCGACCCCAATAACGTGATATTTAGGCCCTGGAATGTGACAGCTATGATCAGCGCATCACTAATTAAAATACTAAGTAAAAGGCCTCAAATTTGAAGTACAATCTGGGATGTCTTTTTTTATCAATTCTTCAATAGGTAGATCTTGTCTTTCATAAAGGCCGAGGTCAGGGATCTTGGGCTTAAAAAGGTTGGTGACCACTGCTTTACAGTTTCAAATTATGTATTACTCTTATCTGTATGAGCAAAAATTATGGCATATTTTGTTTCCACTGTTATCAAAAAAAAAAAAAAAATGGCAGTGATTGCGTTGGTGCCGCAATGTCATGCAGTAGGCGCTAATAGCTTCCACACTCAACACAAACATTTCGATATGTATCAATAGTCCACATTTAGTTCATGTTAGAGCGCATAGCCATATAAAGTTGCTACTACTTATATGTTTCACTTTCAAATGATAATCCATATTTGAGGTCGATGAATGATAAGCGATCATTTGGATTTCATGCCTGATATACTGTAATTACCTCAACGACCAGCCGTTACCGATCCTCACAGACACGAACCATGTTTTTTGCGACCAACCAATTAATACAATTTTTGTCTACTATAAGCTTCTCCTTGACAAATGTTTAGTGACTATTAGAGGGGCAGCCCTAGTAATTATGACTACCGACTAAACCTAAAAACAATATTTGCTTTATGAATTGATTTTCCAATTGAGGCTTTGTTACAATTAGCTCACAACTGAGGACAAACTGGTCACTAAACTAAGTATGCAAACAAAAAGACATTACAAAAAATTTGTATTTTACAAGAATAGTTTACCCAAAAATTAAAAAAGTAACCCAGACAACTTCATTCCATCAATTAGCGTTTTGTGAAAAGAAAAGCTGTATGTTTGTAAGGAGCAAATCCATAATTAAGATACTTTATTATCAAACCATTGCTCCTGGCCAATATATGAGTCCATAATCTATAATAACACTTTCTCCAGCAAAAAAAGTCCACCCCCTATTGTCCTCTCACATCAAAAACCACTATCATATTTTTTTTAGATCTTTTTGGGACTGTTTTCGCTTGTAAAAGTTGCTTGACCTTCACATATTTCTCACCTGATTCAGACTAGATGACTTTTTCACAGCAGAAAGCAGTAGTATGGACAGAGGACTCTGATTTTAGCCAAAAGCAATGGTTTGATGTTAAAAACATCTTAATGAAGGATTTTTTTATTAGCAACATGCAGATTTTTCCTTCACAAGACGTTAATTGATGGACTATTTGATGGAGTTGTGTGGATTATTGTGATCAGCTGTTTGAACTCTTTTACTCTGCTGCTCTAAATTTCTCAAAATCTGTTCTGATGAAGAAACAGACTTATCAACATCTTGGATGTCCTACATTTTTAGCAAATTTTTAGGTAACTGTTCTTTATATACAACCAGATACAAGCACACACCTGTAAGTATAGATACTCAAAGGCCACAGAATCTTCTTTGAGCATGCTCTTAAAGTCTCTAGGTAGAAAGCAGACACGGAACAGACACCTGTAGTCGTGAGTCTCCTTCTTTTCAACCACCTGTCACACGCATACAGAGTATTATTAGATATAAATACTGTATTTTGGCCATTTAAGAATTACAGATGAGTGTAGAAAGAAGTAGCCTTGGTCACACTTTATTTTAAGGTCCAGTTCTCACTATTAACTAACTATTAACTATGACTTTTACCTCAGTTAACTCTTAATTTGCTGCTTATTAGTCGAGTAAAGTAGTTAAGTTTAGGTAAGGGGTAGGATTAAGGGATCTAAAATATGATCATGCAGTATAAGGCATTAACGTGCTTTATAAGTAGTAATAAACAGCCAATATGCTAATAATAAGCATGCTAGTTAATAGTGAAAATTGGTCCTTAAAATAAAGTGTCACCTAAAGAATATACTCTTTTCAATGTAAGGAAAGTTAATGAGGAATTTAAATGTCAAAACAGCACCATAAAATTAGAAAGAAGGATTTCTGGTGTCATGTGACAGCTTCATGTAAGAAATTCACACTCACTAAAAAACTTTTGGACTATTTTTATGATTTTAGTTCTTGACAGCCCACATACTTGTTCAATTTTATTATTAAAAGTGGTGGTAAGTGGCTAGGATATTTTTCGTTTTTTTTTTTCTTCCATAGAACAGAGTAAGTCCCACAGGTTTGGAACAACATAAGGATTAATAATGAATAACTTGTGTGCATTTTCGTGTGGACCTTTACTATGTTTATGTGTACCTTTTGAATAATCTCTTCTTCGTGCAGTAGATATAGTTTGCTGATGCTGTACTGTTGTTCCAGCACCAGAGAGAAGTGTTCGATACGGGTGATTGAGAGTTTCTCCTTCAGAGTCATTACTATGTCCTGGTGATTACATAAGATGATATGTGAAACATGTGAAAGTATATAGAGGACATTAATGCACAACACAGGTTAAAGCTAAGAAGACCTCCCTTTTAGGGCAATGTGATGGTACCATGGTACAGTCATGGTATTAAATGGTAATGGCACTAAATAATAACCATGATCATGTACGTTTTGCTTATTTTATTTTTGGATGACAATCATAAAATAGGCAATATAATTAATGCTGACTGAAAAATAAACACATCAGACTTTAGTGAATATGTCTACAGTACCTTAACAGTGGTTTTAGATTCAAACTTGAAAGCCTTCGTTTGGCCATTTTCCAGAGAGACTTTCAGAACATTGGGCAGGAACAGCAGAGAGTTACCCTGGAGGTCAGAGGTCAATATACAGTCAAACCAAAATGTATTCAGACACCTTCAACATTTCTCACGTTATCACAGTTTATTCGCTATAGTTTAGAAAATGGTAATAAAATATTAACAAGAAAATAAAAGAGTTAAACTGTGTCAGAACAAATTCATCTTGATAATGCCATCCTGTCTGAATAATTTTTGGTTTGAATGTAGCATCCAAGGTCAATAGACATATTTAAAAAAATATAATAATATATGTAAAATACTTAATAGTAATGGTAGTGAATATGCTGTATTATAAAACAACTGCCTGTTTCAACACAGTGTTAAAACATTTCTAGTCAAGCCAGATTTATCAGTATTATTATCATATTTAAAAAAAAAGATTAAGCCCTCTAAAAGCTGCATACATAAAAGATAAACAGTTTTATCACTGCCTTAGTTATATGGTGTGCTTGATAATGTGCTTGTTTAATTAGATGTTAATTAAAAACATCTCAGGTTGAGGAAAATGAACATCCTCACGTCAATCCACCTGAAGACACATTCAAAAACGTTTCTTAGGTAGACTATTTCTTTAAGGTACTCTATCATAAATATTAATTATGATAAATCCCACCACCTATATAAACTGCAGATATACTATACATCATGTCAGCTCAGCTATACAAAGATTATGATTAATGGTTAATTGAATAATTAATAAATTACTGATAAATTATTTACTGAGGTTTTGCCCAAGACTGGGTAGACTGCCAAATGCTCTCCCTCTCAATGCCTCTCTATTGTTCTGCATCTTTTGTTCATATTCTCGCTTTCATTTTCTTTATCACTCACTCTCTTTATCTTCTTTTTGTTAATAAGCACATGTGAATATTCCATTATTAACAGCATGAATGAATTGAATGTGTCAAACCTGTGAGTGACCATTGACCACCACCTCCTCTGCAAACCTCACTTTAACTGGGTTTGACTTCAGCTTGGCTCTCTTCTCTGGAGTTATAAAGGATGACTTTGGCCCCTACAGCACATCCATAATGACAAATGGCATGATTATGGACATGTCTGATATGTCAGTGACATATTATTTCAACGTTCATTGCAGAATTGCATTGGCATGGAAAAAATGTCTCTGCATTGACTGTGACATACTGTACCTGTCACTGAGAAATAAAGTAAACAGGGAGATGTCAAAATGTCCTGAGACCAATCTGTCTGTTTTTCCTCTTTACAACCCTTACAAAAAAATGTACGGTGGTAGTACCATGTTGCAGGAATGATATCAGATATCAGATAATTTCTTGGGATGTTATCATGGTCCTGAATGAATACCATATTCAAATCATATACATTGCAAGGATATGGGAATGTTTTTTTCTTCCACTAAATTTCTCACTAAATACATTTTGTGATTTTTTTTTCTCCAGACCCCCACCCTCTGTAGGTCCCCATCCCCCAGATTGAAATCTTGCACATGCATCTTTATGTAATTTGTATGCTTTCCTGATGAACAGGGAAATTCTGCTGAATAAATGTATATAATAGATGTATATATCTACAGAATTTTGCTGAATAGATGCACATATGATAAAATGTGTTTAATAGGGTTATTGAAAGCTGGAAGCATAATAAAAGTAGACAAAATAAATGAACAAATAAGAGATGAGAGATGTGCACTTTACCAGGAACTTCATATTCTGCAGAAATTTAGTGAGCTTTCTGCTGAGCTCTGTGGGCACAGATTTCCTTTGGGCCTGATTATTATAAAAAACTTTTGGTCATCATTTCTGCCTGCTGCTATAATGCAGCACAACACCACATCCTCCTGCCATGCCTCATTCAGACATAACAGTGTGTGTGTGTGTGTAAGAGAGAGAGAGAGAGGGGTGGGGGGGGTGAGTCTCTAACTGTGTGCATGTACACTTACCACAGTATTTCTTAGTACAGTCAGTACTATGGTGTTCTGGCATTCTCTGTAAATAAGTTGAAAAGAGTATGGCAGAATTAGTGATACAGATGCAGCTCGAGTCACTAGATGTACCGTTTCCCCATGTTCTGAAGATACCTATTTATTATAAATTTGGCCACATGAAAAGTTACTTAAATATTAGGTAAAACTGGACATCTGGCCAGCCAGATATAGCTAATTTTGTAGTTTCACATAAACACTTACACCTGCAACATACCTGATGATGTCAGCAGCCTGCTCTGTAGATAGATCATCAATGGCAACATTGTTTATTTTAAAAAGTTGGTCACCAGGGACAAGCTTTCCATCAGCAGGGCCACCTATAAAAACAGACAAACATGCTATGATACTGTAGCTGTCAATCATTGGAAAAATATTTAGAATTCAATTACCACTGTCATTTGTCAGGGCTATCATGTTTTATAGGAATGTTTGAGAAAGAGTATTTATGTTGTCCTCATTACTGGCTGTGTTACTAGTTATTTGGCTGTGGGGTAACCAGATGGCTTCAGCCATTCCAAGAGTAGGGTTTCCTGTAGACACAACTCCATGTGCCAAGCAAGTCAGCCAACATTTTGCTGTATATGCAGGCTATACATGCAAATAGCTGATGGGTCACATTTCAATTATCAAACTTATGTTCAGTGAACATTTAGAAATGTCTGTATAACTGAATCAGATTTATTTGCCCTACTAAAGATAAAAGCTTTAACACTTTACAGTAAGGTCTCATTTCTTAAAGGGATTCTGTCATTAATTACTCACCCTCATGTTGTTCCAAACCCATAAGACCTTCGTTCATCGTCAAAACACAAATTAAAGGTGCAGTAGGAGATCTTGGAAAATGCTAACTTTAGCCTGATAGCACTGAAAGCGAACGTCCCACCCTCCCTGCAATCGCCGTCCAAAGCCACGCCCCTGAACGTATATACGCTCACAGACCAGAATACCAGAGACAACGTTACTACAATAGGCTACATCAGCAGTTTCCAATTCCAGTCCTTGCACCCCCGCACCCGGCACATTTCATATGTACTGTATCTCTTATCACGTGCGACGTTTGTTCTATTCGATCGTAAGTGCCCTGCAAAGTGGACATCACCGGATATCCCACCATCCAGTTCGAAGCGAGCGTATAAGTTCCATACAAAGGGCATTAAAGTGTGCGAGACGTAAATGTAAATATTTACAAAGGTATATTATGTCACACTTCTCTAGTAAGTTTCGTCTGTGTGTGAAGACGCTGCGCAGCACAAATCCGTGAATGAATGTTCCGAAGTGAAGTAAACTTCAACGGATTTCCCCTGCTCAGGGAGTAGGGAGCAATGAACACTATGTAGGGCGCATGTCAATCGGAACACAATTCATGCACGTAGCTCTCTTCTAATGAGCTGGTTATCTGAATTAGATGTGTTAACTAATACCGAGTTCACACTGCACGATTTTAGCCCGATTTTTCACTCGCCGACAGGTTTTGCGAAATCGCAGACAAATGCCCGACATCGGAGGCAAATCGGTGCTCGTTCACGCGAGTGACAATCACGCAGTGTGAGCGAGTTTGAAAATCGTGCAGTGTGAACTCGGCATAAGCGAGACATGGGGCGCGAGGACTGAAATTGGAACCACTGGGCTACATCATGTGTCATTCTTTATAGTACATTTAGTAAAATTACTACAACTTTATAGTACAGTTAGTAAAAGTACAACAATACCAGGAAGGAAAATCGGGTTGTTGTTGATGTTTGTCTGCCATTCTCGCTCTGTCTGCACAGCGTGTGTGATTGCGATGATGACTGTCCTGTCTGCGCGAACAGGGTGCGCAGAGGTATGCTAATACATATGATATTTTTGATGTAATCCGAAAGCTTTCTGACCCTCCATAGACAGCAATGCAACTGAAATGTTTCCAGGTCCAGAAAGGTAGTAAGCACATCGTTAACAGTCCATGTGACATGAGTGGTTTAACCATAATTTTATGAGAATACATTTTGTGCACAAAGAAAACAAAAAGAATGACTTTATTCAACAATTCTTCTCTTCAGCGTCACCGTCGTATTACAATGATCAATGCACAGAAACGTAGCAGGGACATCGGTAAAATAGTCCATGTGACATCAGGGGTTCAACCGTAATTTTACAAAGCTATGAAATACTAAGTTACCAACTTCCACCATTTTGGAGAGTACCCCAGAACGTAATCAACGTAATCAGCTTTGTTTACGTTCAGTAGAAAGCGCGCGCATGCTGAACGTGAACAACGCTGATTACGTTGATTACATTCTGGAGTGCTCTCCAAAATGGCAGAAGATGGTAACTCGGGGAGAACAATTGCTGAATAAATTATGTTATTATTATTTTCTTTGCATACAAAAAGTATTCTCGTAGCTTCGTAAAATCACGGTTGAATCCCTGATGTCACATGGACTATTTTACCGGTGTCCTTGCTACGTTTCTGTGCATTGATCATGGTGATATCGTTGCTGTCTATGGAGGGTCAGAGAGCTCTCAGATTCCATCTAAAATATCTTAATTTGTGTTCCGAAGATTAACAAAGGTCTTACGGGTTTGGAACGACATGAGGGTGAGTAATTAATGACAGAATTTTCATTTTTGGGTGAACTAACCCAATAATAAAAATTAATGTTAGTTCACAGTGCATTAACTACCATTGACAGATACAGCTTTTGCTCTTAAAAATGTATTAGTAAATGTTGACATTAACATTATCTAAGATTAATATACTAACATGAACTAACAATGAAGTATTGTTCACTGTGTACGTTTATGTTAACCAATATTTTTAAATAACGTTAACAAATTACACATTACTGCGAAGTGTTACAAACTCTTTTATTATATAATGGATTTATCATATAAATATACACTAATAGATTAATCTGCAGAAAGCACTAGAAAATATTTTTATAGTGAAAATAAAAAGAGGGTAATTTTTGTAACTGTTCCTTTAATATGATACTTTTTGCTAATTTAATGTGATTTGACTCAACTTTATTTGAACAATAAATATATTACCGCAGTAATGGACGCTTGTTTTGTAGCTAATGCACTATTGCTGCTCTATTGATTTTCATGAAGGGCTTGTATGCTGTATAATCAAAATTTTAATTCAAAATGTAACAATCTCAGCAAGGCTTTATCTCCACAATTTCAGACTGTTTAGAGTGCTGCCTTAGACCTGTGCCACAGAATGCCTCAACAGACCTTGCCATTCCCTTCATATTACGATGACATATTCATGAAGTTCATAGGATGGGCATTTTCCTACCATCAAGCTAGAGATTCCCACAGTGGGATTATTCCAAAATAAAGTCTAATGGATTTAAGATCTCAAATCTCCAAAAAAGATCATCTCCAGAACTGTATGGCCAATGGTACCCTGCCTGTTACCCCTGTAAGTGTTAGTTCATAGCAACTGCTGGAAGCTAATTTGGAAGTGCCACAGATAAACTCTGAAGGTAACCAAGGCCACCTGGCTAAGATCTAGTACTTAACTTCAGTGCTTTCATTGCATGAAAAGAAAAGGATGCCAAGAAGGCTCAGAGCAGTGCAAACTTTAAAATCCAAAATAAATAATATAATTCTTATAATACTTAATTAACAATTGACTGTGAAAGAACCTTACCATACTGTAAAAAAATATTTTTCAAAGTTGAAGATAGAACAAATATTATTGGAGTAGGTTTTACAAGACAACACAATTTCAGTTTAATTCAATTCAATTTACTTGATTTTGTGTAATTAATTCTACAATTTTGGAGTGAAAATTGTTCCTACACCATTTTTATTTTTCAGTGTAGAACCCATTTGAGCTGATAAATGTTTTAGAGATGACTGTGTGTGTATTGTACCTTCTGTCACGTCCAGCACTTGGGGTGGAGTGTGTGTTGAGACAGTAAAGCCATGGGAGTTAAGGATGGGGTCAAGTGGGATCTTAACAGTGACTCTAATTGGACAGCTCCTCTGCTCCTGGGAGCCATTGTCGGCAACTTGCCCATCTTCTAGCACACGCTCTCTATGTACAGACAGATAGAGGGTGATGCTTTTCAAACACAAAAGAAAAAAGCAAAGATGCATGTTCACACAATCATTCTCAGATTAAAAAATAGTACCTGCTGATGGACTCTCTGGAGCGGCGAAGCCAGTGTCCCACCACCTGCTCTACTCTGCTGGTCCTGCGAGACGGTGAGCGACTGCGATCCCGCTCCTCCATTTAGCTACACACAGGGTGAAAGGTCACTATTGGGCCACTATTTATTGCTAAGAAAAAAGACAATAATTATACAATTTCAATGATAATTAAACAAATCACTAATATCTGACTATGAATATGCAAATTGTTACACAATTTTGGATGTTTTAAAACTTTTCTGTTTCACATATACATGTTTAGTATATCCTCTTTAGCCAATCAGACACACCATATATTCTATCCAGCCAATCAAAGTCTGACCTCTTTGCGTTCCACTTTAGAGTCTAGAGTAAATACATCTAATTTAAATTACTTTATACATGTGTATAATACTTATGTATTTTTTGTTATATTATATTGTTTTTATATTGTTAAAATAAATAATTTTAAAATGAAACTATTCAAAATAAAACATGTATAAAAGATTAAATATTTGTTTACCTGCATGTCATGCGACCATTAATAAAAATGTCTATTTTAAGGTCCAATTTTCACTATTAACAAACCATTAACTACGACATTTGCCTCAATAAACTCCTAATTTGCTGCTTATTAATAGTTAGTAAGGTAGTTGTTGATTAGGTATTGGGTAGGATTAGGGATGTAGAATATGTTCATGCAGAATATGTGCTTTATAAGTAATAATAAACAGCCAATATGTTAATAATAGGCAACTAGTTAACAGTGAGAATTAGTCCCTATACTAAAGTGTTACCAAATGTCTGAGCCAAATTTTGTGTAGATGGTGCACAATTTCTCTGTCCACTTCTGGTGAAGTTATATAATGCTCTACACATATTCATACTGTTTACAGTGCCTTTCAGGTTGAGCATGTATACATTCATAATGGTCATAGCTGTGGCAGGTAAAATGGTGTGTGCAGCAATAAACTGATAATGTTCTGATAATGTGTGGTCACCCTCTCTGCCTACAGTGGTATGAAACATGGCCTGCCTTTATATCATAGGTTCTGCATATTGTGGTGTTGTTGCAGAATTGCTTTTTATGAAGGGTTGAAGTTTATTGTGCTTCTATATCAAGTATGTCCCACTAGAAAATGTGAGAGACAATCTGGAGCCTCATGGTCAAAAGAGAGAGGGACCAACAAAGACAAAGAGATAAATAATATACTGCGACAAAAAAGAGAAAGAGATCCCAGGAGATCATGACTCATGGTCACATTATTCTCAGATTTCACAGGATTTGGATCTCACTTTCCATTTATTTTACTGCTGTCAACACTGTTATCAATACTGCATAAACCACATCAAAGTCGTTAGACTGTGCAACACTTGTCCAGCAATTTTGACTTGCACAATAGTGACCGCCTACTTTTTCACTAGCCCTGGTTATAAATATTTTTCTGATCTTTTTCAAAAAAACTAAACAAAACAAAAACTGTATAAGCATACTTCAATAAAGGGTTGGCGCTAAACCAACCAGCAATGCAACCATAATTTGCAGCAAAATATATATTGTAAAATCTAAGAAAAATAGAAAGTTACAAGATTATATACCACCTCAATAATTAATTGAACCCCATCCTTCAATATCTAAAAGGACAGCATACTATAGATCAATTTTATTATACTCATTGATAATTAGTATAAAATACTTTTTTAAGTTTATAGCAAAATGTATACATAGTAGTTTAAGAGTCTCAAGCACTTGATTACATAATTCGGGGGCAGTTTTCATTAGTGTCAAGTGCCAATTTTCACTTCTTTAGATTAATAAGGTTACACTTTTTTGTTGATCTAATTGTACAGTGAACAATAGATTTAAATGAAGTTCAACTGGATTGTTTTTAGCACCATGGTGGAGCATCACACTTCCAAAAAATTACACGTTGCAGCTTTAACATTCACTGTCAGAAATTAACACGGCTGATTAGATGGCAATAATAGGACATTTAATAATTGTTCTGGTTCTGATATACTTTAAAATTGTTATTTTTTCCCCTGGTCTTCACATTTTTAAAATAACTAAACCACTATTTCTAACCATAACAATTCCCTTACCTAAGCAATTAATGCAAAAAAGGAGGATCCCAATAGCAGAAACAACAATATGCTCTCTGGAGAGTTTCCAGAACAGTTTGCACCTCAGGCAATTTGCATTATGAATGAGGAAAAACACCTCTTGACCATGATGCACCTGCCTTTTTTCCACTCTTCTACTACAAATCAGTTTCTATTCTCATCAACTATTCCAGTTATTGCATTATTGTTGCCTGATTAAATATTAATCATTTTAATAATAAATGATAATAACATATTAGCAGCTATTCTGCCTAACCACATTGTTCACTAAAAACACCCCTCTATTTATTTTTAAATACAAAGGTGTGGCAGGTAACCATCCATAGATCCCTTTCTTTAAATCTCTCTTTGAAGCTAAGTTACTTAAAGATACCACCTCCCCTCTCTCACCCTTCCGTCTTCAAGAGGATTAAGCACAGAATAATGTTGAGGTTTCCCTACACAAATCTCATTACTTTTCCAGCACTATTTAATATATTTTATTCATGATATACAGTATGCTTCAGTGCTGTCTTGATCAATAGGGATCTAATGTACATATGGCCTCCTTTCACAGCAAAAAACAGGGGCCAGCGGAAGACCTTAAGATTATTTTATATACTAGAGAGATTCAATTACAATTAGGAGTCTGTGAACTGCTAGATCACTAAAATGGATCCAGAAATTAAATCTGTGTTAAATTTTGTTGTAGCATTGGAATAGGGGCCCATATTCAATGAATTTCCCAATGAAACAGTTCAGTTTACTGCTCTCTCTCTCTCTCTCTCTCTCTCTCTCTTTCACTCTATATTAGATTAGTGGCCTGTAGAGTGGGGTTTAATTCCCCCTCACGCCCATGTTCCCTCATAAAAAGGTCTGCTCATGCTCGCTCTCTGAGAGATAATGGCTGTATTCTATCATTAGCATGGCCAGCTAACGCTAATGGCTAGGTTGAACTACTTAATGCAAGAATTGTCTGCAATTCATTCACATTCACATGGGAGGATTACGGGTAGTGGACCAGTCAGGACACACTGTGCTTACTATGTTATGTTAGCACTGAGCAATGCTAAATAGCTTAAAAACGTACACTTCGTATATCAGTTATAGGATCCCAGCCAGTAATAGATCTTTCAACAGGCTAAAAGTGTCAAACACAGTTACACACATCAGGTGTATCACAACATGTCTGTCTCACAAACATCACTCACAGACTTTGCTAATGCCACTGTAATAAATAAATAAATAAATAAAAATTAAATAAAGGGCTGGTTGAACCAGTTGTGTGTACATTACAACTAGAACATTATGTGAATACTTTGTTAGCTTCAACATGATCCCGATCTAAACAACGCACCTCTGTTTGCATCGGTCCATGATGTGTAAGTCAAATAAAATTAATCATAATAAATAAATGTCATATCTTTTTTGTATCTTTATTTGTTTTATGTACAGTTTCTGAATGGTGTATTTAAATATAATTATGTTACCTATTACCTATTTTACCTATTATGTTATTCATAATTAAATAGTATCGTTCTTCAATAGTAACATATTTCTACCATTAGTTACATCAGGCAAAATAATTTCAAGATAAAGGTAAGATAAACTAAAATTCACTGCATTTCAACACAACTGCTTTCGGATCATTGAGGGTAAATGTTATGCGACTACGCTAGTAGTTACTAAGCCTGTAGTGTAGATGTTACATTCCAATGTAAGTAGCCTAAGAAATTGACAGAAATGTAAAACTGGTAATGTTATGCCAGGATGAGTTCAAATCTGGGAGAAAAAAATCAATACTGAAAATTCCTTCAATTAGCACATTGGACCATGTGTTCATTGACTTTTTTTTTAGAGTGTACATGCACAGAATGTTACAGACAGACGACCCTAAGGTTACTGACAAGTATTCCAATTGGATTAGATTTGTAAAGGCTGGGACAGAGTTATTGCGTCACACACTGAGCCGATCACTGAGCCATTTACACACATGTAAACACACAACACTACGGACAGACCAGTACACACAAACATGCATACACACTCCACACTTACCTTAGAGTCAGATTATATATTTCCCCATTGAGGAGGAACTTTTCCTTGGACTGCATCACCAATTCTTCACAGCATTGGTTTGATCATTTGAGTCTACTCATCATTCCGATGCCTCAGTCAGTTAGTTCGACAGCTAACATTAAATGAATTGATTTCATTGGCTAGCTCAAAAAAACTATATGCAGTGTGTAGGATTTTGAAGTTTTTGTCCTATCCACTTGCACTGCATTTATATTTTGGACCTGAACTTCGGCAGGTTACTATAAGCAAAGAGAAAGTTTCAGAAGTCTTGTTTCATCAATAATGAATTCCAGAGTGTGCAGGCGCTTTGTTTTCTTCTTGATCCAGTGGTCCTCTGCATCAGACATGGACTCTTGCTTGCTGCCATGATGGGAGCTCCAAGTTGTCCTCAGCTCTGTCAAAGTGACACATATAATGGTATCTGATGTTTTTTTTTTTTTTAAACATTCATTCCTTATCTCACTATAAGAAGTGAATCTCGCGTGACTGACCACAGAAGTTGAGTCATGCAGCCATGCTGCATCATTCTCATTGCCTTCTTAACTTGAAGATAATTAACAATTTATAGATGAGCTGTAGTGGTAACACTGCTGAACATAAATTTATCTGTGTGTTGAGTGCTTTTTTCTGTGTTTTTGATTGCTCAGAGCAGGTTTTCTCTCATCCCTGAATGAGGAGTAGGGCTTGGCGGTAAATCAAGTTTATACAATATATTCTATATAAGCGATATGGTATGAGGCAATAGTGTTTATATCGATATACAGTAGATATTGTTAACACGTGTAGTTTAAAGCCGTTGCCCATCAGATGCTCTGACAGATAGGCTACTTGTGCTTTTTAATGCATTTGAGATGTGAGTTTTCCTCAGTGTATTTCACAGGTATATTCTCCATCTGTAAATGTTAGAAAGTCAAGAAAATATTTCTATTTTGCTGTCAAAATGTGACATGAGTGCATGAGCCTTCTGCGTGCGATTCTCAGCCAAACTGACGAATAATTCTGACTAAAATATACATTTTGCTAAAATATTTGTTGTTGGACAATAAATGTGCCATATGTAGAAGTTGAAATCTTCAAGTAAGTGTATTTTTATGATAGCACTAACTATAAAGTGACTGTAATGGGGGTGATTAAATTAGCCAATTACAATTAGTCTGTGCTTTTTAAAATTTATTTTCATTTTAAGTTTTGTGAATTTAACTTCTGCTTTAAAAATGCATTATTTTTGTTTTTAGGGTTTAACCCTTTTTTGCACATAATAGCATATTGCCCAGCCCTAATGAGGAGTGGAAAATTGAAAACCTGGAGTGGATATTTGAGTGGAGTGACAAAAATGCCTTGAGTTGGGAGGTAAAATATCTATGTTTCTGTGGTCAGTTGCACATGAGACATTCCCCATAGTACCTCACTCACAAATTCATGGTTAGATCAGATATAGATCCTTGCAGATTATCACTTAAAATCAATTGCTAAAAAGGAATTAGAGATGACCAGAAAGGCCTTATTCAAGATCTGGTGAAGAGGTACCAATAAAATGAAGAGTCACATTAGGTTGCACCATGTTTGATGTTCAAAGCTGTTGTACCACAAAGGATTCAGCTCTTTCAGTTTGAGCTCTCAATGAAAAGCATTTTTCATGTTTAAATGAGGAATGATATACTGCAGAAACAACAGCATTTTGGGGGGAATAGTCTAAGGGAGACTATTTTGGTCAGTGTATTGTACCTTTCTGTTTATTTACTACAACTGCAGTATTATAAATGCATGAATGTTTTGTCAATACTGTAATCGTCTAATGTGCTAATCCAAAGCAAAGCTAATAAAGTTTTCTCTTCTTTTTTAAAATGAAAATAAGGTATTTTCCTAATCACTGCTCATCCAGGTTCTAGCTGTTTAATGGCCAGATTGTTAACTCCATCCATGTAGTAGGCTATATGCTATACAGCCGTATTCTTTGAATGCACAAAAAATACTGGTGCTCAGCTTGTTTTTAACCGCTAAAAATGTCTCATGCCTCTTCCCAGGTCACACTGCAAGAAATATCTTGACTACCTTCATCAAACCATTAAACTCAGTGTGGACGCTATGTAACACAGACTTTGCATAACATTTTAGCTAATTTACATTACATTCGAGGTACATATTTATTTTAGTTCATGTACTCTCTGGGAATCATTCCCATGACCTTGCTCTGTTTGAGCTACAATAATGCTTTTCAAATGATCTTCCACTACATGATGTGTTTGAGTTACATGAACTAGCTCACCCCTGTAGCTCAAACATTATAGCATGGTAAAAATCTAAGTCTTGGGTTTGATTCCCAGGAAATGATTGCAATGTAAACAATTTGAAGGCAATGTAAGTCACTTTGGATAAAAGTGTCTGCCAAATACATAAATGTAAATGTAACCAACCGAACAAACCGATTCACTAAAATGAATCTCTGATTAATTTAAATCCATGCATTTGCAATTCATTTGCAGCATTTTATGTATATTATGTAGCTACATATTCAGTTAAAACGCTGTTGTTCATCACTGTTTTTTACGTGAGTAAAATGTTTTAAAAATATTTCTGTTTAGGAATATTTTGATTTCTACTTAGTGTAAAAAAAAAATTTTATTCTGCTTGTAGAATTAATAATCTTATATCTTTTCCACTCTTGAATAGCTTGTAGTGTTATGCTTTTTCAAAAAGGTTGTTTAACTGTATTATAACTATTTTGAGGTATGGGAAGCTTATAACGAATCAGGTACAAAGTAGCTTCCTCAACACTGATAAAGTGACAATGGAAGTCTGAGGCGGATATTAAGAGAGAGAAAGAAAGACAGAACCATCAGGTTTGTCGGAGTCCCCTCTGAACATTTTCAGCTCCTAGCTGTTGAATAATTAATGTATCCAGTGCAAAAACAGAGAACACAGCTCTCTTTTTCCCTCTCACTCACTTGTTCTCTGCTTTCCATATAGTTTATCCTTCCCTCAGTGCTATTTTCCCTCATAACCACAGCCTGCCTTGTCAGAATCTTTCAGTGCCATTATTTCAGTTCTGTTACTTATGTCTTTCTCATTAAGTCAAATGAAAGATTTAAAAAAATGCAAAACAAAAGCTCTATAGAAAAAGAGACATTGAACAATGAGAGTACATTTGTACTGAGTACACAATGAATGAATGAAAAAGACTCAATAAAATGTTTATGATTTTTTTTTCTTCATGCAAAATTGATAACGCTCTAGAATGGTACCTTTTGATTGGTTTGTTCGCTATATGTGTTGTTTGAACAGATGTATATTTGTGAAGTTCCCAGCATTGTATGCATCCTTCAAGCTCTCCTTAAATGCTTTTCTAATCCTATCATTGCCCTTAAACTCTTCTTTCAGACTTACTGAGTCCAAGAGAGAGAACCACAGAGTGCACAGGCTTTAATAATGCATCTAGATAATGCTGCCTCACCACTCACACAGACAAGCACAACAAAACAGAAAGACAGTGAAAGAGTGGCAGAGCAGCATGATCTGAGCGCTGCATATCTTCAGAGGGAGCTGAATGGAGATAGGGAGGTTATAGATAAAGGGTGAATGGAAGAGGGGTTGAGAAAATGAGAAAAGGATGTATAGAAGGAAGGGAAAAGAATGAGATAGCTGGGAAGATTGTGAGGCTGCAGTAAGAGATGCTAAATAAAGACATAGGAAAAAGACCTGGAGACGTTATGATTGTGTGTGCACTGCATGATTTGTTCTGGGAATCATGGCATGAGGAGAGAGGTGTGCAGGCATAAAAGAGGAAACGCATCATCATTTCTTCTTCCTATAAAGAGCTTGAGCTATGAGTTATGTGTCGTCTTGATGTTCAAATTGGCTAGGCATATTATTAGGAAATAAATCAAATAAAATGTTCTGTTCATCAAAGAAATCTGATATCATGGTTTTCACAGAATATTAAGCAGCAAAAGCGGTTTTCAACATTGATAATAACAATAACCATTGTTAATGACACAAAATCAGCATATTAAAATGATTTCTGAAGGATCATATGACACTAAAGACTGGAGTAATGGCTACTGAAAATTCAGCTTTGCTATCACAGAAATACATTTTAAAATATATTACAATAGAAAATGTTTTTTTAATTGTAATAATATTTCACAATATTACTGTTTTACTGCATTTTAATCGAATAAATGCAGGCATTTGCAGCATTTTAAAATATATTACAATAGAAAATGTTTTTTTTAATTGTAATAATATTTCACAATATTACTGTTTTACTGCATTTTAATCGAATAAATGCAGGCATTTGCAGAGATTTACTGTGATTAAAGTGGCATACATTTTGTTAATGAGATTAGACCAATAAATAATATGCACTGATAACAATCTGATAAATTGAGTGATTTGCAATGCAATTATTAACATGCACATATTATTTCAGAGTCAATTATTTTATGGTTAAGAGTGTTAACAATAAATCCAGTTTAACACATGTACCTTCTTTGTATTCATGCTGGTTCCATATGGTTTTGAAAAACTTGTATACCATTTTCAATAAAAGTTTCAGTATAATGACAAAAATGGCATGTGGTCAAACTATCAAACAAAAATGAATAACATATTTTACATACCTTAATAATTATATTCAGAAAATTTTTGAAATATATTTTTCAAGGTAAAACTAATTTTTAAAAATACCATGAATTATATTATTATATATCATATAATATTATATATATCATATTAAAATATTAATTATTAATTCATAAATATCATTACGTTTTCAGTAGTCTCACAACACATTTTACAACCTGAACTAATATTGCCTTGTCATAAGTAATTAAATTATTTGACATTCTAAGAGACTTATTGACTTTGACAAATAGTCAAATCACTATTTTGACATCAGCATAAAGGGCTAACTAAACCCTCTGTCAAGGGTCTACAATCTTTTTGCAGGTCAAGGACCCCTTGGTGGATGGAAAGACAGAGCATACATAATGTATAAAATGTTACAGTAAAGTGTTGCCTTTTAAGCCTGGCCTATAATGAAATGTGTATAGTATCACACTAATGTATTTACATACTTTGATAGCAAGTCCATTAGAGTCATATACAAGTACATACAATATAAACACACACAGATGGGTGACAAATGAGAAAAAAATCCACAGGAACTACTGGCTCTGCTGTTCAGAGTGATCACCTTTATCCTATCAGGAAACATTACTATCCTGATGCAAGTGGTCACTTCCAGAATTACATTGCCCTCATCCAAAGGTCACGAGAGGTCACTGAATGGTTTGATGATATTCCATCTTCAGTTTCACATGATGCTTCAGAAATTATTGTATGCTGATTTGATGCTGAAGAAACATTTTATATTATCAATGTAATAAAAAAGGTTGCACTGCTTAATATCTAAGTGGAAACCATGATTATTTTCAGGATTCCTTGATGATCTGACATTTTAGTTTGGCTAAATTATTTTCAATATGGGTTGGAAGAATGAAAGCTTTAGCTGAACTTTAGCTTCTTAACTTTATTTTTGGTTGTTTTGTTCCATGCATAGGCCTATTTGTGCATACATCTTCCCTATTCTAGTGATTGCTAGAGTATATTCGGATGAAATCAGTATTGATACAATGAATACTAAGTCTCTACCTCTTCACAATTATTTAAGGAGATATTACTCTTTGGATAGATGCATACATTTCTTTTCATGTACAAATGTGCGTGCTGAATTTTCTTGTTGGAGATCTCCCTCTCCAAAAGCCACTTAAATGAATATTGGCACAAATGGCCCAATTTCAGCTGTTAGCAGCTTGTAAAATGCTGCTCCATGCCTGAAAGATAGATGTGCTATGATAAAAGTCTGTGCTGTCGTGTAGTAGGGCATGTAAGAGCACAGTCACATCAGATGTTTTAAGCATTAGTTTATGTGCTTATGTTATGCCTATTATTTAGTGTTACTGAGCATATCATCACTGGATTATCAGGTTTTAAACATGCGGCAGACATCTAAGCACCGTCTGTTTTGGTAAGTTTACGATTACAAGGCATCAAGAATTCACAGTATTCAGCTGCTCCTAAAAATAACAGCATAAATGAATTATGGCCCTTTCTGAAGCCTGCCGGATCTCCTGCCTGATTTCTGCCCCCTCTGTTTTTACTACATATACTAATTATTATTATTACAGCCATGTTTTGTAATGTTTGCACCTAAATGGTAAAAAAATTAATCAAGAATAGCCTACATCAATCAAATTAATGAAGTTTGGGAAAATGTGCTGCGAAATAATTTGCACAATAGACATATTGTAATGAATGTCTGTACCATCTTCCCTTATGAATCATCCAGGCTACACTAAATGAAACGTGAACCTTTTGGGCTTGTTGTAACTAATGACATGAAATCTAAATATATATAGGCTATGTATTAATATGCATTTTTTTGTGCAAGTTCCATCTCTTAAAGGAAGCACTGAATTCATCTCTCACTCAAATAAACAAGGTTATCTGGCATTCCCTGAAATGCTGTAAGAAGATAATATTATAATATTGCCTGTAGGGCAGAGTCTCTGTATCAGACAACTAGCAAAGACAAATAGTAACGCTATTTTTACTATGTTTTTTTCATGGTTATTTTTCAGACAGAGCAATAAAATACAAAACGGCTTCTGTAAAAAAAATAAAAAAATATCCTATTTCTGTTCAGTTATGTATCTAATGAATGCTCAATGAATGATCACAATTTAAAGACATCTCTATTAAAGCCGATAGAGCTGATAGTGTGAAAGTGGCATTCACTTAATTCCCTTTAATCTGTCAAATTCACCTAACGTTAGTTCTGTCAGTGACTCGCCTTCATCTTCACATCACAGCGTTTATGAACAACATTTATATGCTATATATCTCACCTTACACGAAGAGTAACATTTTCGTGAACAATCCATCGCCGACAGAAGACTCATTGGGACGGTAAATAAATAAAGCGAAGGCGGGTTAGTCCGATGGGAGTTTCACAGAGACGCACTTCAGTTTAACCGTTTAATCTGCTTTCAGCGCTTGATAAATCCTCAGACTCTCTCTCTCTGTTTGTCTCCCGCCCTCTCTCTCCTCCTCCTCTTCTTAAGGTTGAGATTCCTGGAGCTTTATTGCCCCGTTAAAACCTTTACATTGCCAAAGCGTCAATATACATCAGATGCACGCATATATCCACCTTATGAAGGTTTATAGGCGTTATGCTAATGCAAAAGGCGCGCGGTCTCGATCTCTCAAATTTCAAAGTAAACTGCCTACTTACTGGCGTTTTACGTCAAAATATCAATGCTCATAATACAACAAGTTTATAATAATTGTATAGGCTACAATTAAATATATTTAATTGTTTTAAATAATACAGTATTATTATTATTATTATTATTATTATTATGAGACATTAAAGAGACATACACAACAGTTGGAATGATGTTGCTGACATACACAAGCAAATCTCGCATATTAGCCTATTAATATGATACACGGTGATGATTTCACTCCTTGAGTAACCAACTTCTTTTTGGTATGTTTGCATACATTGAATAATAATCGCAAAACCAAAGCTTGCAGAAGTGTTTTCACTTGTCAGTATTTATACTTCTGAAGAGAAATATACAATGAGAAATAATGTCTATAAGCCTAATGGAAAGTCTATAATGGAAAAATATTTTACCTATTTAATCTATGAAGAATTTATTAAATAAACAAAAATGTTATTTAGCCAGTTCATACCCTTAAAACTTTGATTTTTCATTTATTCAATGTAAAAAAAAAGACATTCATTATTCTTAACTATTTTATTTAAAGGCACAATATGTAATTTTCGCCGCTAGAGGGCGCGTATTCAAAATAAACAAAGAGGCAAAGGCCTAGTTTTGATGAAGCTGTGACTGAGTGTGGAATCATGGGAGTTGTCGTCTTCATCCCCACAGCCGATGCAATCCGACAGGACTCCAGCAGAAATCATGTTCATGGATGAGCTAATGATTTATTAACATAGTAGAATAAAGCAGGGTGAGACTGAAAGCCGTCGAAGCGAAACGAGGCCACTGAACGAGCGTGACACACGGCTCGAAAGCAGCTGAGCTTTTATTATGCCGACCGCTTCCGGTTCGTGTCACTAGTTAAAATTGCTTTTTTCTCTGGATTTAAACATTCTTCGAAACATTTGGGATAGTGTAAGTACACAAGTCAGCAAAACATATAACACTGTTCTAGTGGTTTTTGGATATTTTAATAAACAAATCTTACATATTGTGCCTTTAAGACAACGCCAAAATGCCAAAAACTTAACTCCCCCTCTGAGATTAATAAAAGTTGTTTTGAATTGCATTGTTTTGTAATGCATTTGTATAACATACAGTCCACCAGATGGCGCTGCGCTCTCTTAAGCCCAGAGCGAGAAGAAGAGAAGCAGAGAAGCAGCGAAGCAGAAATGAAATCGTGTGAGAGCAGAGAGCTGTCATGAAGAACAGCTGGGGTGTTTAAAGGGACTGGACTGCGTGCCCACGAACACACTACACTGAGGTATTTCTAATCAATACACATGACAGAGAACGGATGTGTTATGCGCACAGGAACAGCTTAATCTTGCTATTATGGGCTCAGAGAAGAACTTTGACAACGAGACTAGAAGAAGTGGACATTTAATATGGTCACTCTAGCAGCTAATGAGCTAACTGTAAATAAACCTAGCTGAGTACAGTAAACAGTATAGTTTAAACGATAAAAATCATACCGCAGGCTGTTTACACTCATGCGATAAGTTTTTATATAACGTTAGGTCTTTCGCCTATATCTAGCCTGGCTTTTGTATCATTGTTTTATCAGCAGATTATAGGAGTGGGCCTGCATTAAAAACTCATGCAACTAGACGCTTGAAAATTACACTTTTAGGCTTGCTACATTGTGCTTTAATAAGTAATTACGATACATAGGGCTGACTTCATTTATAAATATGGATTTATGGCAAATTTCTTTAGAATTGACAATGATGTAAGTAAACACACTGTTTGATTATATCTGTAGGTTTTATTGTCAGTGATCGCAGTGATGAAATCCTAGTCGGTGATTTGTCTGTACAGGACCCAAATCATTATGTTAAATTACAATGGCTAGACGGTCAGTCATATGCATGCAAGAAGAAGCTGTTGGACTTTTGTAACTCTAACTGTGTTAATCACATCATGTTTTGCTGTGTAATCATGATTGTGAAGGGGAAGTATAATTGCACACAGTGTGCTCTGCAGGTAGAGCCTTCGGGAGGCAGCAGGGAGAGGTCAGGATGGCAGGTGTTGGGGCATGTGCCCCGGCTAACCCTGCCTGTAAGATCATGACCTTCAGACCTACCATGGAGGAGTTTAAGGACTTCAACCAGTACCTGGTTTATATGGAGTCTCAGGGAGCTCATCGTGCTGGACTGGCAAAGGTTGGTATGTTTATGCATGTGATTGATAGTAAAATGTGTATTGTACATATATAATAATAACAGTCCAAAATATAAAATATAAATGCACAATATAGGTCCATTGTATGTTTGTTTTACATTCAATCAGTGAGGACAGTACAAAAGAGTGATGGGCTTTTTATTTTTAATTATTATTATTATTTATTTGTATTCACAAGATCACAACTCTAATATATAAAATATAATAATAATTGTAATAATATGTAATAATAGTAGATAGTAATAGAATAATATTGTGTAATCATGTAACTTTAATACTTTAATAACTTTAATAGAAATAAAGGTAATATATAAAAATATAATATACTATGATATTTTTTATTTTATTTTGTATTTCTACATATATATATATATATATATGTGTACACACATTCTCTTGGACCAAAAATAGTGGCTTCATATTTCTTAAAGCAGATCTTAATTATTTCCACAGGTTATTCCACCCAAGGACTGGAAGCCACGTCGCAATTATGGTGATATTGATGATTTCGTCATTCAAGCACCTATTCAGCAGATGGTGGCTGGCCAATCAGGACTCTTCACCCAGTACAACATCCAGAAGAAACCGCTCACTGTGCAAGAATTCCGCAGACTGGCCAACAGTGACATGTAAGTGACAACTGTTATTCTACTCTAACTACATTTAAACACAGTATGTGCATGCAGTGATATTCTGTGGATTGCATTCACATTTTTTCCATTTCTTTATACAGTATTCAGCCATAACCTACAGTCTAGGTTATTATTTCATATTTCCAAAAAAGCAAAGCAGTGCATAAACGATAGCAGATGTGTTTACTAAATAAAATAAAAAAACACTCCATATATTAAACAATATCTAAACAAAAATAATTTTGGAAAGTATTATTGGAATATTTTTGTTTTAAATACAATTTCATACAATGCCATGCAGTTTACAAACACCTCTGGTTTGGGTCCTTTACATAGTTCTTTTATGCATTGTTATATGCTGGACTTCTATTGCACTCTGTAATAAGATTCCTTTAAATGATGGATTGACCTATATTCGTTAAGGCCATCTGGAGATGTGTGATTTACCTACTTAGGTACTGCACTCCTCGCTACTTGAACTATGAAGACCTGGAGAGGAAATACTGGAAGAATCTGACATTCGTCTCGCCCATCTATGGTGCTGATGTGAGCGGCACACTCTATGATGAGGTGAGGATGCAGGTGGAGCACAGCTCTTGTGCTCTGAATGTTCAGCGTAACGTACCTCAAAGGGAATGTGAATGCCATGCGTGTTATAACAAAGGATAACACAGTTTTCTTGGTGGTGGCTGGCTGCAGTTGACTGTATACACGGTTATACAACTTTAAGTAATGTTTATTTAATCAAGAAATATTTGAAAGCCTCATGCTATTGTTTTAATTTAATTTGTTATTAATTATTATGAATATTTAAAGTTAAAATTCAGTAGTGTGTGTAATAGCATATTATTTGCTATTTATTTGATTTATTAATTTATTATTTTGCTGTGATCGAAAATAAGTATTGAGTATTATGCAGTTCCTCTGCTTTGATATATATCATGAATGAATACGATAATAAATTACCGGTGTCTTTACATGGTATTTTAAGATAATTATGAAAAAAAAAAAAAAAAAAACAAAAAAAAATAATTAAAACTAGGACTCCCATCTTTAAATATTTAAAGATGGTTGTGATTTAACATGGTATTTTAAGATAATTATGAAAAAAAAAAAAAAAACACAAAAAATATTCATTAATCATTTGTGAAATAATGAGGGGAAATATATAAGAATTAAAAAACATCTTGGTAGTGCCATGGTACTTTCTTTATTGTGCTGTGAACTGGTAAGCAGGTGATAGTTGAGATAATGTTTGCCGCTCTTATCTCAGGACATTGAAGAGTGGAACATCGGGCACCTGAACTCAATCTTGGATGTGATTGAGGAGGATTGTGGAGTGTCCATTCAGGGTGTAAACACACCCTATCTGTACTTTGGAATGTGGAAAACCAGCTTCTCCTGGCACACGGAGGACATGGACCTGTACAGCATCAACTACCTGCACTTTGGGAAGCCCAAATCCTGGTAGGACTCACTGTGGTTTTCTGTGTTTCTTGAGTATGCATAGATCTATTTGAACTTCTTTCTTCATCTACTTCAGAGGACCTGTAATTCTGCCATTTTTTAAAAATAAAATAAAATAAATAAATAAATACCAATTTCACAGGTATGCTATCCCTCCAGAACATGGGAAGAGATTGGAACGTCTTGCTATAGGTAAAATTTTTAAAGTAAAACTATAAAGTAGTCTTTTAAAGGAGTGTGCAGTATATTGACATCTTATATGAAATACATGAAATCATCATATCTGAAATATATATATATATATATATGAAGAGTTCAGATGCAAAAGCCTCTAAGTACCATCTAAAATGAGCATTTTTTTATCAGGCTCCTTTGTTTAAGTTCAGTAATTGGAAAAAAAAGTGAAATAACTGAACATAAATAGAGGAGCCTGATAAAAATGCTCATTTTAGAAGAAAATTTTAGATGGATGTTAGAGGCTTTT